TAATAATAATAATAATAATAATAATAATAATAATAATAATAATAATAATAACGCTAGAATAATTCATAACTAAAGAAATACAATGCAATATTAGAATTTCTAGGAATAATGCTTCAAAAAACCTAAACAGGTTCTATTTAAAAGAAAATCGAGAAACTCTACGGTATTATAAAACTGCGTTAGTGATACTAGAAAACGTGTGTTATTAAAGTTATTTTTGTTGAGGTATGTTCTTCACATCTCTGTTATATTGAATACTAAATGAATTAAACACGCAAATGATAGGCTCTTATAATCAATTTGAATAAAATGCCAGTGCCTCATAATAATGTCGAAACTGTAATGTGGGTGAGTGTAAAAGTCTGGTTTACCAATGTAGCCATATAATATGTCATCCCTGACCGCTTTTATATCAGGCGTTTAGAAACTCCATCATAAAAACGAAGAATAACAACAAGTTATAGTGAGTTCTTGTCTTTTCGATAACCCTTTTCTTTAAAGTATTCCACGTTCGATCTTCAGAAATCAGAGTTATGTTAGTTAGAGGTTTAAAAAAACAACAACCCACCCCCACCCAAAAAAACCCCCCGCTAGGTTATACATGCTAGTGAGGATAAAGAAATATCTACACAACACAGACAATGTTAGAAAGCGGTAAGGTGTGCTTGCTCTTTCCATGCATAAACGGTCGTTTCTACTACTGGAAAAAGCAGGAATTATTGAATGAAGTTTTGAAATCGGAACTAGTAGAATGTAATGTAAACAACATACAAGTTGGTAAACACAGTTCCATACCAACAGTAAGTTTTGTAATGGAGAAAACATGAGATATTATTTTGCTCATAAATATCAAGCTCGAAGAGTAAGCCATTGTTTTTGGTAAAAGCAGAGAAAAATACTTTTCTACTTTATGATTGATTGTAAACGCATCGAAAAAAAATCAAATATCCAACTAAACTAATACGTTTTCAATAACATTCAAGATTATGTGGTTTCAACTTGCTTTATCACATTAAAAAAGTAAACAAAGCCCAAAACTCCCCATTCCTTTCAATCTTCTAATTACATCATTTTCTTCGTTGCCTTCCACGATGACTATTCATGCCGGAATCCTTCAAGTTTCTTTTGGGAAGCAAGAACCGGTTACGACACATTCCCATATTGTTCCCTGTCTGATGACGTCTTCAGTATATTAGAAAAGCGAGCAATTCCTCTTCTAAATTTTTACATTGTGACATTGAGTTCCAGCTCTGGCGTGTCTAAATGATCTTTAAGAAGGGGCTTTAATTCCTACGACCAATTTAAATATACGGCTGAATAAAAGAACTGATCAGTTATACGAAACACTCACTTTAGTTTCAGTAGCTCCCACTAAGTGCCCTAAAACTACCAAAGGAGTAATTGTAAGTAGTAGAAATTGACAAAAGTATAAACACCTGGCGGCAGATGTCAAACAAACATCCTCTGTGCTCCACCGCAGGAACAAGCTATGACGCAATCACCCCTTCTACTCGGCACTAGAAAACAAACAAACAGTCTAAACGTACTCTAACAGGGTTCAAACGTTCTACGACATTACTCTTATCTCGCAGTTTTCAGCGTCATCTGTTGTCATCTTTTACTCGTTCTGGCAGCCTAAAGGATAAGGGCAATCGGAAGTGAAGAGTCTACTCGCGAAGAGGAAAAGTACAGAGGGAACAGGTCGACAGATCCAAACGTGCACACGTATGCTGTTTGAGTTTGGAGATAAAAGAACCATAGACTTGTACTCAAATATCCTAGACTGCGCACTGTGACGTATTTCCGGTTCAACATGGAGCGCTCTATTTGACTCAAATTTGAAGCCAAATGAAGGGCAAAGGGGAAAGGTGCTGCGCACACTCGACTAACATAACACGACTGGTTCTTTTGTTCTTCATGGTGCGCACACTTCGTAGCAAAGTTAGTATATTATAGAGACCAAAGAACGGTGAGCACGTCAGTGCACAGTCAAGGATATAATCCAAGTCTATGAGCAAGACTAAACAAGAATATCAAGAAATGAATACTTGGTGTGAATTAGATGATAAAATGTCCATTTCGTCACATCCGCCACGCAAAATATTGGAGCACGAGTCGACAAGGAATCAAAATATAATTGTTCCGTTTCTCATGCTCAGAGTGCAAGAGAGAAATAAAAAACCCAGATTTGGATACGTCAATGACAGTAGGGAAACGACGACGATATGTATCTTACGACACACCGAGAGGCTGAAGCAAAGAACTAATACATACAACTACGCCAAACCTTTGTTGGAACCGACGAAAATCGTTCGATGAAATCAGATTCGAACCGTTGCGGTGGCTATTTGTTATACATTTTAAAAGCCCAAACATCACTCCATGTACTTCCTTTTTTAAAAAAATCTTTCGAAAACTAAATCCATACATTTTATTTTAAATGAATTCCGTCTACTTGCCAAGAAAATCATCTTTCATAAAAATATTTCGATGTCCAGCCACCTTGGCCTGTTTCATCCAACTGTTCCGACAAAAGCTTGACGCTATCTGACAGTATGTACTAGCCATAATTGTACAGAATTACTTGGACATTGCCACCTCCCGGAACGTGGCTCGCGTTTTCCAGAGAACCGATTCTGGCTTCCACTTTCCACTCTACTTTTTCAGATAAGATCTGAAAGAACAATAAATTAGGGAGAGTTGTCAAGCATACTCTACTTTCTTTCCAAATAAAGTCATTGAAAACCAATAGATTATATTATAGTTTAGAGTTGTAAAATAAACTCTTTTTTCAGGTAAGACCTGCAGGTAAAAACAATGAATTGTGAAGAGTTGTAACAGAGTTATTAGTTCGCATTAGTAGCAAAACACTACAGAAAAAATACCGTAATACCTTATCAGTTCAGTTTTATACGACATTTTGTTCCATAGCCACACAAGGAGAACAGTGAGAGGGAATAAAGAGCAGCGAAAGGTCACGGAAAAACAGGAGAGCATGTCAAGTTTTGGGAAACGTTTTACAACGCTAAGGTTATTCAGCTATTTAGTGATATCAACAAGACCAGAAAATGAGCATCAGTTGTGCAATAGAAAACTTAAGTGAAAGCCTGCACCCATTCTGAGAAACGCCTTCCTAAAAACCATTATGAATCCCAAAATTCGTTTGACAGATTAACAGCAGTTTACATATTTCTCTTGTATCCCCGAGATTCAACGTACAACATATCTGGTAACACCTCACCCCCCCCCCCCCCCCACACACACACAAAATTTAAAAAAAACAAAAACAAAATAACAGTAATACAATAAAAGCCCATAAGAACGTAGCGAGAATTTCTTTACAAAATTACATACAAGTAAGGTAGGGGTGTTTAAAAAAAAAAAAAATATGCTCTATAAAAATCCATTCTGTTTCAAAAACTACATAAACGAATACTATTATACTGTGTGGAGCTTTTCAGACGTCCAGTCAATAACAAAGTAACATTATTCACAATGCCAAACAAACGAACAAGAGCTGCCTGACAAAACAATATACTCTAAAGATTTTCAAATTTCGTCAACCTTTCAACAATTCCCATTACAAAAAAAAAAATAAAAGAAATAAAATGATAAATAAATGAAAAAAACAAACAACTCTATCATTTATCATTCCAGGGGTGTTTGTTTAGGGCAAAGAAAGGGAGGAGGGGTAACTCTTCTCTGCAATAGTGTCAGTTTATTTATTTCAGAGAGTTACCTCCCTTTGTAGTATAATCTGCGACTAGATGAATTCATTTAATAACAGAAGGAAGATTAGCTTGTTCTTTGAACACACACACATACAAACAAACACACACACACACACACACACACACACACACACACACACACACACACACACACACAAACTAATGCACGCATGCACGCACGCACGCAGCCGGATAGGAATCCACACAAAAACGCAGCCGTGACCTCCATCCTATAAAATTCACCCATCATAAAATAGTTCCATCCATCTTGGCATGCTTGTCGCAAAAGTCATCATACTACAAAGACCTCAACACACCTGTGCACAGTACATCAACCAAATATAATGATATCACCTGTGCACAGTACATCAACCAAATATAATGATATCACAGTATAGCCACGTAATATGATCTCTTCAACAATATAGTCATGGAACTATTTAGTATAACGATTTAATAATATAGCCACGTTATAATATTATAATCTCTTCAATATTGAAGTCATGAAATAAAACATTGTCTAGATAAGAACACTTTCATATCAAGATAATAATATTGTTCAACAGATGCAAAAAGGAACTACTCATGTCATACACAAGCTGGATATATAAGCAAAATCATAAAACGGACTGAGAAGCTTGGGAAAACCCTGTGAAAAAGCCGGGGTGGCAAACAGCACAAGAAAGGCGGCCAAGTGGCATCTCTCACAAGCACACGGAACAAGCAGCCGCCGTGCAGTCGGAGAAAAAACAAGTTCAAGTGTTAAGCTGGAGGGGCAAAAATTAACAATATTATTTATACACATTGATCCTAACATTTCAATTCATATTTCGAAATCTTGATGTTGTCATTTTGTACGCTTGTATGTGGAAATATTAGATCTATGTACCGTATACCATCATGATGACGTCAAACATTGGCCAATTTCTCATTTCTGCTGAGCTTTCTTGTGCGTGGACCAAACAGATGCAGTCAACAAAAATAGATTTGAATCTAAATATAGAACAGCGTATTTCTCTCGTGGGGAGAGATTTGAAGGGGTGGAAGGGGGGGGGGGTTGGTAGAAAACACTCTAGAATGTCCTTCCAGTGTGGCTTTTGATTTGTTTGGGGTTTTTTTTGGGGGGGGGGGGGGTTCTGCTCCTTTTGGTGTGTTTTTTTCTATTTCCTCGTTTTGACTTACATACAAATTCCAGTACCCGCAAGACTCTTTGTCTACAGCCTTTGACCTCGGTGTCCGAGGACGTTTGACCAGTGGTCAGAGGCTCACCTTTTTGTCTCCACCTCCAGGCTGATGTTTAGCATTGTCCAGGGACCCGACTTTGGACTCGGCTCTCCATTCTGTTTTCTGGACTTCGATCTAGAGACAACACAGACAGAGCGATTCTCAGCTGTTCAAAGAGAGGGGTGTCTGAGAGGGGTGTCTGAGAGGGGTGTCTGAGAGGGGTGTTATAGAATGTGCGAGTCCCCTAGTACCTATCACTGATTCCTCTCACAGTTCTTAGCTTCTAGAACAGATTACGACGGATACATCTACATCCTTATCCCGAAATGGTTGACCTCAGATGACCTCACGACGAATTTTTCAGAGACAGAAATTGACTATCGGCGAACCAAATAACGCAGAAAAAAAAGAAATGTTTTTGGGTGGTTTTTTTCGCACATGTCAAACCCCAGTACATCACAGCACCAGTTGAGATCAGATAGACTAAACGATGATCACTTCCGTGTGAACCTTGACGGATGGAATTACTAAGAAGACGTCATAGACAGGACTCTGCTGGTGATGTTGAGTGAGAACTCTGGAATGTCCACTGCGCTACGACTACCCTCCTAACCATTTTTACCTCTGCACCGCTGACTTGATTTAGCAAAAGTTGCTTAAATAAGCAATAATAATAGCAACAATAATAATGATGATAATACAATAACAACAACAACAACAACAACACACACGAATAACAACAACAATAACAGCAATAATAATAATAATAATAATAATAATAATAATAATAATAATGATAATAATAATAATAATAATAATAATAATAATAATAATAATAATAATAACAAAAACAACAGCAACAGCAACAACAGTAATAATAATAATAATAATAATAATAATAATAATAATAATAATAATAATAATAATAATAATAATAATAATAATAATAATAATAATAATAAATAGCTATTTTATTTGAGTCATTATGGACTCAAATTTTCCCTGGGTCAGTTGTTGAGTACGACAGTCAAAGATTCTCTTGCTTATAAACGAGTTTATGAAACAACAGTTCGTTCTTTGCTGTCTGTGCGTGGTCCAAATGTCTCTAGAGCCCAAACCAGACCAGGCAATACCTTTTGTGAATTTTCATAACCACTTTCTAAACATCACTTATTTTTTAATATTGCATTAACTCATAGCAAATCATTAAAACACTGATGACGGTCGAGGCAAATCTCTGAAATCTGGAGAAAAGGACACTACTGCTGGCTGGGAGACCGAAACTCCAGACAACTAAACTGCAAATTAAACACATCAACATCATTCTGAAGAAAAACTAAAAAGGGATTTCATCATTCTTCGCTCTCTATATAGTATATGTGCTGTCAATAGTCTTAACGGGGTTTGAAACATGCTTGCCTGAATAAACGGGGTACAAAATGTATCTATTCAAACCCATGCACGGAGGAAAAACAAAAGAAGATAAGGAAATTAAAACAAAAATGAAACCCAAAAGGTAAATTTTGAGAAGCTTTCAATAAATAAATCAACTGAAAAGGGTAGTGTAGGAAATGGCGGGGAGTTGTCTTAACGTATCAACCACCAAAGTGTATGCTGAGAGGTCATCTGCAGTCATAGCCTCGGGATAAGGAAGCGGTAGAAGCCTACATATGGGCACACTACTTGCTGATATTCCTTAAACATGCATGCTGAGCTGAGCAAAAGTGGTTTGTACTTTAAAGATTAGCAAACTCATAAACATGGCCAGTGACAAAACAAATTTAAAAAATATTTTTTTTAAAACGTCTTTAAGGACAAAACGTTAGTCAATCAAACAGAATTGTACAATAATCATCAAGTACGACGGAAACAGACCACCCCCCCCCCTCCCCCTGTAAACAATGATAAAACCCCTCCCCATAAAAAAACAACAAAAACCCACACATCCTCATAAAAACAAACCAAATAGGTAAATATGATTCTTACTCATTAAATAACTCTTCAATTTTAAGTGATCTCTTGAAAAAAAATAACTAATCATTGATATGAAGTTCAAAGTCAATAATAGTCAATGGAAATGACAGTACAAATTTCAACCCAAAACGCATTAATCAATTCAAATAACTGGGAGAATACATTGACATACAAAACCAAATATGATTTAAAAAATGAGCGCTCCAGTTGCTATATTTTATAAAACATGAAGTATGAAGATTACCTTCAAGAGAAGGGACGGGATGATTCAACGCAAAAAGTGTTGAAAAAATCTGATCTAAACACGCAAACATTTCACAACCTAAATAAATTATTTTGTCTTTGTTGAAGACAAATGAGATCTCTATAAAAGTGTTTCAGACAACATGAATCTGGCTCAGTAAAGTTTTTCTTTTCTTTATTTCTTTTTTTTTTTTTTTAAATAAAAAAAGGTAGTTTGGATTTCTGGATATTGCCTAATGTTGACTGAGAAATATCTTTATGTCTTTACAGTATCTCTTCAACTTCCATCCAAACAATCTGCACCATTTATGAACCAATAATTTATTTATAGATATATGCACTATTCATAAACAAACAGTCACGACCAGACAATGCCACACACCATTCGAGACATGGAAAAGCGCAGTGTAACCACTCAACACATTTTATTTCTATTGCGGTCTTGTTTTATCCGGCTTTTATCAGAACATATTATTGAGACAGTCAATCGCGGTTCGTCACTTAAACATGGGTCCAAATTCAAACTGACTCTAGGAAAGTCTTGATATATTTTGCTGACGGAACTTCATTGAAAAAAAAATTAAATTTGAGCTCAACGTAATGAAAATCCAGCAGCCACCATCCCCCCCCCCCTTTCTCGCTGTCTCTGTCTCTGTCTCTGTCTGTCTGTCTGTCTGTCTCTCTCTCTCTCTGTCTGTCTCTCTCTCTCTCTCTCTCTCTCTCTCTCTCTCTCTCTCTCTCTTTCTCTCTCTCTCTCTCTCTCTCTCTCTCTCTCTCTCTCTCTCTCTCTCTCTCTCTTGCTTTCATAAAAAAGACTATATAAGTTGGAGATCGATAAACTTTGGGAGGGTTCGATTGAAGGTTTGTTAGTCCAGTTGAATACTAGAATATGTACCTTTTTCACTTAAAGATTTTCTTTCTGCCATATCTTCTGAATAATCTTTAACATGTCCACAATCAACTTTTATATCTAGATTTTTGTTTCGAGGACTTGAATTGACGAACCGTGACGACTGCCATAATATGTTACAAATTCCACAGAGACCAATGAGCATCCTTGTAACAAACCTTTTTGTCTCCACCCCCAGGGCTGTGGTTGACTTTGTCTAAAGATCTGACCCTGGACTCCGCATTCCATTCAAGTTTCTTTGACTCAATCTTAAAGCACGGTGAGATACACACAGAGGCCGGGGGCATGGTGGTGAGAAAGGAAAGAAGAAACAAAAGGAAAAATAATGAGGGCTGGTGGATGCTTCCAACAAAGTATACGAAATGTGTGTTGTTTTTCCGAGACTCTGAAAACATTTCAACTGCAACATAACATTCTCCGACAGGGAAAACATAAGTTTTATTCGCTTACATTTAAAAAAGAAGTAAGTTTCATGAATATATTGCAGAATAAGTATTGACGGCTCTTCAAGTATTCTTTCAATTTAAACGATAACACAATTACACAGTCCTTTGTAAATGCTTTCCTAAATCACAGAGCTATTCTCTTTATAAATGAAACCGAAAGCCATTTTGTTTTAGACAGCTCTGTTTATAAACAATAATGATATATCAAAGTGCACACTATTATTGAATCCAATTTAAATATTAATATATGAGCATTTTATTATTTAATATTAATCGTGAAGTGTTTTTTTTCCTTCTGTATCTCTCATGACAATGTACAAGGGATAGGAGGATATTCAAATTTTGATTTTTAAAGAAAAGAGTACGTTCTGGATTTGTCTTAGAATTTCCTTTGCATTGCATGAGTGCTATTTTTATGATAAATAAACATATTGTTTTTACAACAACAGAGTGTAGACAGGGGTGAGCGAAATGTGAAACAATACAAAAAACAGGTCATAATGGTGTTGAGTTGTGATTGATCCCCCCCCCCCCCCCCCCTATTTAAAAAAAAGGGGGGGGGGGGGGGGTGGTATTACTTACTTTTTAATATGATACCCTGTCTCTCTTTTACAGTGAGGTAAAATAGTATCCATTCAAGGAAAAACACATTATGCGGTTAACATTTTTAAACATTCTAAACTATTTTCATCGCCTAGGAAACACCCAAACTTTTATTCAGTACCTCTTCTGTCTATCTCTAATAATATTAATAGGTTACAGCGTAACACTGGCCATCTTAATTCTGGCCCACATGTATCCCTAATTTTCTAAAATTGCAACCTTTGCTAAATAACTAGAGTATAATTGCCACTAAACCATTAGGTGAAATCAGAGGCAAAATGACAATAAAACTACTCATGTCAAATTAATTTCGCTTCTGTCCAAGATTTACTAGCATATTATATAATATACATGTGTGGTCTCGACAAAAGAACCCCAGGTCGGCCAATTTCGAAATTGAGATATCATGTAGTTTCATGTATAGGTCTTTAAATTCTGAATCCGCTGATTAAAAAAAGATTTCAGATAGTAATCAATCTTTATTATTGGAGGGGGGGGGGGGCACAGAACCGCTTATGCCCACTTAAAAATATAATTCTGTGTGGACCTTTTTAATTGAGTTGTTGATCAAAAGCACAAAGCGTGCACAATGCTGTTCACAAGGAAACTCAAACTTAGGAACTCACTACACTTTGGTGGTCTTTTTCTCGCTAATCTTACCTCTCATGCCTGGCGACCTTTATTCCTTTCATTTTTAAATATTTCAACTTTTATTAAGATATGTGAGTATTTCTTATTCAGGAAAGTCAAGACAAATGAAAAAGCTGGAAGGTTATACCAATAACTCAACGTTATGCCTCAAATCCAAGCGCCCGGTGCCACCGACTGTGCCATGGCACAGTTTTTATACTGCTTAAAACTTACGAAATAAAAAAAAGAGCTTACAAAACAAACCCAGCAATGAACTAATTGTGAGGTGTGCTGACAAAATGAGTTACTTATCGCAATCCATAAATTTAGGTATTGGCTAAAAATCGACATTAGTGTCAAACTTGTAGATTTTCAATCGATGCCATATTCTTTAACCTGTCTTATACTATTTCATACTTATAAACTGTAAACACTTCACCTAAGTGTGGTGTATCTATTTCCTGAAAGCTTGAATCGGAGAAGCAACTCATTTTGTCAGCAAACGTCATAAATATATTTTGGAGCAAGACTTAGGAATACACTATAGCTAAACTTTAAAATTTAATTTTCTAGTGAAAACACATTCTTCGACATGAGATAACCATTGCAACTTTCTAGTCCGTTAGCTTCAAATTGGCTTTGCCGACATATTATGGGCCCTTTTGTCGCGAACATACACATATTATGTAGACGGTCAATCAAGGTTCATCACAAGCTAAATAAAAATGTGATACTAAAGGAGAATTGGCGAGCAAACGACCATGTTGTTTACCAATTCTAAACTTAAAGTAATTAAAACATTTAGAGGTAGAGTAAAATACAAAAATTTTAAAGAAAAATTATTTGCTGCCATTATTTAGCATTGCTGTCCACTAAACATTATCTCTGTCTGTCTGTCTGTCTGTCTGTCTGTCTGTCTGTCTGTCTGTCTGTCTGTCT